GAGCTGACGTGAATGGAGCAAAAGCAAACGGGGCAACAGCCTTGTTCACGGCTGCGATGAATGGCCACTTGGAAGTTGTGGAGCTATTGCTTGAAGCAGGAGCTGACAAAGATGTAGCGACCGAAGATGGAGCAATGGCTTTTCATGTTGCAGCTCAGAATGGCCACTTGGACGTAGTGGAGTTGTTGCTAAAAGCTGGAGCTGACAAGGATGCAGCAACAAATCCGCATGGGACAACGGCTTTGCAGTTTGCAGCGGAGAGTGGTCACTTTTCAGTTGTGCAGTTGTTGTTGAAGATGAGCGCTGAAGTGAACGCAACGAAGGCAGATGGAGCAACGGCCTTGTTCATGGCTGCTATGAATGGCAACTTGACAGTTGTGCAATTGCTGCTTGAAGCTGGAGCCGACAAAGACGCACCAACTCAGGTTGGAGCGACTGCTTTGCATGTTGCATCCCAGAATGGGCACTTTGACGTTGTGGGTTTGCTGCTGAATGCTGGAGCCGACAAAGATGTGGTAACCAAACTGCATGAAATAACTGCTTTGCAGTTTGCAGCTGAGATTGGCCACAGAGCAGTTGTGCAGTTGTTAGTGGAAGCAAGAGCCGACGTGAATGGAGCAAAAGCAAACGGGGCAACAGCCTTGTTCCTGGCTGCGATGAATGGCCACTTGGAAGTTGCGGAGCTACTGCTTGAAGCAGGAGCTGACAAAGATGCATCAACTGAAGTTGGGGCAACGGCTTTACATGTCGGATCCTTGAATGGCCACTTGGACGTAGTGGAGTTGTTACTGAATGCTGGAGCTGACAAAGATGCGGCAACCAAACTGCATGGAACAACGTCTTTGCAGTTTGCAGCTAAGATTGGCCACTTGGCAGTGGTGCAGTTGCTACTTGAGAGGGGTTGTAACGTGAACGCAGCAAAGGCAGATCGGGCAACCGCTTTGTTCATAGCTGCGATGAATGGTCACCTCGAAGTTGTGCAAGTGTTGCTTGAAGCTGGTGCTGACAAAGATGCAGCCACTGAAGATGGGGCGACGGCTTTGCACGTTGCAGCTCAGAATTGCCACTTAGACATTGTTAGATTATTGCTGAAAGCTGGAGCTGACAAAGATGCACCTATGGCTATGTATGGGACGACGGCCTTGCACTTTGCGGCTGAGATTGGCCACTTGGCAGTTGTGAAGTTGTTGTTGGAAGGGAGAGCTGAAGTGAATGCAGCAAAGGAAAATGGGGCAACAGCTTTGTTCATAGCTGCTATGAATGGCCACTTCAAAGTTGTGCAAGTGTTGCTTGAAGCTGGAGCTGACAAAGATGCAGCTACTGAAGATGGGGCGACTGCTTTGCGCGTTGCATCCCGGAATGGCCACTTTGACGTTGTTCGGCTGTTTCGTTAGGCAGCTGGCAAAACCATCCGAACCATGCGACAGTTCTAATTGACCCGCGAAAGCGTATCCGTTTGTAAACTGAGAATTGAGATTGACATCCGTTATAGTTAGATGATAAGGGTTCTTAATCGGAAGCCATGCCCTGTCCTGGGCCACATACAAAAGACTTAGCCAGTTTGATGGAGTGGAGTCATTGTTCTAAACGATAGCCGACATCCCCCTAAACTACCATCTCCATGGCAGGAACCACATCCCGTGGTTTCCTGCTAGAGCCTACTTAAAAGCAAGAGCTGTAGGACTTCAGGTTGGTCCAGCTGGGTGTGCTTTTGGGTGCCCTTGGGGTCCGTCCAAAACCGGATCAAACCCGAAGCTCCGCGCCACTGCCCGCCTCCTCCAGGCTGCCACTGCCGTTGGGGGATCTCAGCAGGATCTCTTTTGGGGCCAGATGTGCCGACTCTGAGGAGTCGCCATGAAGAATCAGAGACAAGTATCAGCTAGAACATGGTGATTTGGGTATGTACTTGAGTGACCTAGACTGGTTGCTTCTTTTGGGTATGTATTTGATGTTTCTACAGCTTGTGTGGACTGTTTGTTTGTCAGGTTGGTCTTCCCGGGACAAGAAAAACTGCTTCGACAGAGTCCAGTTGTGTTCGGCGCATGGTTGTTGGGTTCCGAAGCGTTGGTGCTTTCAGAACAGATAGAAGGCCTCCGTTTCTGAACAGATCGTATGCCAAAAAATGCCGTATGAAACCACCACGTATATATGTATATATCATATGACACAGACATAAAAGACATATGATATTCATATGATATTCAAATGCGAGCTTCCATTCTGTTCCCATTCTGTTGGTTCCAAATGGTGCTTGTTGGATGGTCCGACCCGCCGCGGGGTTTCCCGACGTGACTTCGGCCTTTCGTCCCGGCCATCGAGGTCGAGGAGGCCGTGAAATCCGAAGTGTCCCTTGGACGAATCCATGGCGCATCGAGACTTTGAGACATGGCGCCCCTTGACCACGGCGAAACCGGTTTCGTTTTTACCGGTGGATCCAATATGTTCTTCGCAGCAGTCTTCCGGGTTCTTCGCAGTAGTTCGGGATTTTTAAGGATTTTTTTGGGGAGGGTACCCTCCCAAATGATTTGTGCATCCTTTGTGCGTGATTCATCAACCAGTATCACTTTCCTCTAGATCATTAAACCGAACCTGTTTGGCATTCAGATTTTATGGTCATCCGAAATCGGGCCCATGCCATCCATGGTCATCCTTTGTACCTTCAATTGCGTATATAGTCCCTGAGAGTTCTTCAACAACAAACATCTAGAGGAGGGTGTCAGTTTCCCGCATCTATGGAGGTCTTAGATGGTCTAAGTAGATGTTCAATGATCTCTTCCGGAGAATCTGCCGGGGTCCCTCCGGTTCTTTTCGTAAGACACCAAGCCGCCATGTTCGTGGATTCCGAACATCAATGTGGATTCCGGGGGTACGATGGGGCATGGCCAACCACCACAGAGTGGGGTTGCGCCTTACATGCCTTCCCATGAACTTCCGTCAGTCGTAAGGGCACCACAGTTCCGCATCAGTTCGGCATCCTCAGTTGCAGAAAGTTTGGTGCTAGGAGCAAGATGGGCAAGCAAAAGGAGAAGGTCATGGAGAATGACCCAGACAACACGAGGCATGTTTCTTGTTGGGGGCTTTCGGTCCGGCCCTGACTCGTATTATGGCTATTGAAATAGCATATATGAATACTGAAGCATATTGGAGGCCAATCCTAATCCCAAGGCGATGTTATTTTTCCTTTGGAAACATGTTCATCGGAAGAAGAGACCCCGAGTGGGCCAAAAGAATCCACAGCCTTGTTCACAAGGCCTGGAGCTAATCAGAGAGACTGGTCACCCCCCACCTGGGACCTGCCATGCACCAAAACCATACAACATCCACAGATTTGTTTGGAGATCCTCCATTGGTTGTAACCAAACTCTGCCTGGAGCACGTGCAAGCCTGTTGCATATGGATTTGCTGGGTCGGATGCAATGAACATAGTATACAGATTTGCAGGTTATAATATATGTTATAATTAGGAGCCATGTTCGCTACGAACGGGGCTCCTGGCATCGCCACGAACGGGGCTCCTGGCCTTACTACTAGTAGCAATGGGGGCGTTCCCTCGGGCCGCTGGGGCCCCATTCGTCGTTCACTCCGACAGGGCCACACGGTCGTGGGAAGTCCATCTGGAGGAACGAACAGAAGTCAACCGCGAAAACAGTTGGATCGGTCCAGGTCGTCGACCCTGTTTGTTTGTTAAGGAATCAGGATCAGACATGGGTGAGTGCGGCGACTTGAGGAATTCCCACGATCCGGGGTTCCATTCATCACGGGCATGAGCCTTAGGGGCCGCCTCATTTTGAGCCACTGCCATGTTTGGGTGTTTCACCACTTGCGATGTACGTACGTGGGCAGCACAGGCCACTGAACAAAAAGGTTTGACGACCACTTAGGCGAGTCACCCCAACCGTCGAGTAGCCGCATAGTAAGGTATAATTCTCCACACATGTTCCTCCTTAAAATGCGTTTGGACGCTTGTGTTACAGAGAGGGTATTGTTTTACAGTTTTGTGGAACCATCAACTGCATATAGAGGCGGTTCTTGTTGTTTTGGTGGCCTTTCTTGGCATGCCCTGTAAAGCCCCGACAAGAACTTTAAGGACTACGGTGCTGTAGCATGCACTTTCTTATATATACATAAATACGGTCCTAGAGATTTGGTTTGGCATTTTACAGAATCCCGTGAGAGAGCATGTGGAACCGGAAAAGCCTTTTTAAAGAGAACTTAGGTGTTGACATGGGCAGCGTTCGCACCTGCACCGGAAAGAACACGTTCTATATAGAAAGAGCTGCGCCTGTGCAAGCTGTGTGAAGGAACTTATAGTGGTTCTTGGTGTTTGCTTTATCATTTTATAGAGGCTGCGCCTGTCCATCCTTCCAGTGGCCTTTCACTAGAGTCACTAGAGTGCATTTGATTTGGAATTTTATAGAAACACCCTTGACGTGTTCTTCTGTTGCCGCTCAATACGTACGAATTACAGACATCATTTCTCTACATGCCCGGCAAGTGGTCCCAACCTCATAGCCCAGGGTGTCGAGCAAAACTCAGCTCCCGCAATGAGCGGGGCCTGCGGATGTTTGGCAGGATAGCGCATGACACGGCTGATGCGGTCAGCATCTACATGCAGAAGAAGATCATGCCAACGTTTAGCGCCTGAGCTGAACACATTTTTGTTGGTCACTTGTTGCAAGGCTTGGGTGAATGAAGGTAGCAGTACCAAAAAAATGTCTGTGGGGTTGATTCAGTCTGGATCTCACCACTCGTTTTTGCAACCCTTCTTGGGCTCCACCAGCCCTTGCCTTATCTCAACTAAGATAGAAGTTGCACGTGTGGGAAATGATGAAATGGGGGCCACCACCCGGGAGAGGCATCAAAAGAAACCATCCTTGGCCATCCTTGTTTGTTCTTTGATCGCCTCTCCCAGTGCCACCACTTCAGGACCACCGGGGGGGCCGAGGGACCCAGCAAGGAGATGGACTCCCATTTCATGGTATGCCTGCCCGGTAGTTCCTATGTTTGACCAATAAACTACCATCCCCAAGATCTCCCAGAAACTCGAAACCAACAATGCATCCCACTGGTGAAGCCTTCGCAACAGGTGGCCACACGTCCAAAGAGATTCGGGACTTGATCGATGACTCGAGGTGGGACAACGTGGGAGGAGGAGTCGGGTTCACAGCGACGGGCCCGGGCCGGGTTCTGGATAGGTATAGGTGGTGTACCCGAGTTCGACCTAGAATTAGGCACAATGAAGGTGCCTCTTCCAAACAGTGGATCCGCCTGCATATGTCAGGTGGCACGCTTCATCCATCAGTAGACCTCCAAAATTCATTTGATGACTAAGCTGGCGATTTGCAAAGTGGCGAGAACCAACCTGTAAAATCCTGTATGATCAATTGAAAATCAATAAACTCCATAGTGGTGATTCAAGCATCCTCTTGCCACTTTGCATATCGCCAGCTTAGTCATTAAATGATGGCACGGGGGATTGGTGTCTAAGGGTCATGGCATGCCGTGGAAGTTTTTGTTTAAGTTCTAAACTCTTGTGGTTTAAACCTGAGTCATTCCTGAAGTTGACTGGACCAGAATTGATAAGCCCGTGTGTGCCTCAAGTCATTTAACCTGCGCAGTTCGAAGCCGAAACGGATGAGAGGCTGGAACGTCACTTCGTTGACTTCTGTGCTCAAGGCAGCACGAGTTTTTCTTTGTTCAGTTCTACTGACTGCCCATGGGAGTTCGCACAAGAAGGATGCGGACACTAACGCAAAAACAGGACTACAATGTCCAAGCCTCCATGGAGTTCTACTCAATCTTTTTCCAACATAGACTTGGCATACAGTCAGCTCAGTTCAGCAAACCCTTCAAGATTCAAGACTTGACTATTCTCTCGGAGCGTCCATGGCATGGAGCAGCTTGAAGGGTATCCTTTGCCTGACTGGTTGGGGAAATTTGACTGGTCACCTGGCTCGGTCAGGGCTTAAAAGGATTTTGCCTTCCATGTGATCTTGCCATTTGCTGAGGGCTTTCATGTAGTGGGAGATGGGGATGGGCAACTAGTAACAGCAATCATACATCGATCAGGCTCCTGCAGTTGCAGCGGCCGTTGGTGCTGGCCTTTCTGCACGAGTCGGCCTTGGAGGTCCAGATCCCGTACTTCGTCGACCTGGATAGAAGCCTGTAGGGCCCGTTGCGTGCAATGCATGGTGCTGCCGCTGACAGCTTCGTCTTGGGGCCTCATGGAGAGCTTGTCATTTGGTGATGCAGAGTTGGTAGAGGGCTGAGACTTTCACTAGGTTGATGGCTAAGCCCCATGACGTGGCCATGAAAGCATTTGAATCACACTGTCTGCACCAACCATCTCCAACCTACTATAGCGATGGCTAGCGATGGCCTCCGACCTTCTATGGCCGCCCACCTACTCACGATGGCCTGATGGCCTCCAACCTTCTAGCGACGCCTACGTTGCTAGCGATGGCCTCCAACCGACTAGCGATTTGCGATGGCCTCCAACCTGACCACCGGAGATGTGACCAGATGTGATTACAAGAGCTGGCATCGAGTAGATTGCGCGATCTCCGGCCCTCCTTGCCCGCCACAATCGTCAATAGGTAAGCGTCGTCATCCTTCAAGGCTTCAAGGCCTGCCTTCTCTGCTCACCGTTTCCCTCAGCGCCAGTTGATTCTGAGAAACAACGAAGGGGGGTGAATAGCCAACATGAACGTTGGCCTTATTGCTTGCCTGCAGGGTGCCTATTTCTTCATCATCGAGATGGTTGTTGGTTATGATGATGCGGACCCGTCTGCGTCTGAATCGCGCTATGAGGCATGGCTGCAGTACTTGAGAAGAGCTGCGCCTATGTGGCAAGTTCAGTCAGTCCTGGATCCTTGGCTCGCTACAAAGTGCTTCTTCTCCGCACAGTCCAACTCAACCTGAGAGTTGTTGTTCTAAATCCAGGGTGTCCCTGCTTCTTGTTCAAGACAGCTTCCGAATAACCCAGAGCTTTTTCCGAATAACGAGCTTATTGTGCGGATACTTGTGTGGGCAGCAAGGCGCTTGAACTCACGCGACTCTGCCACGACAACCAACGCATAATCTTACATGCAATGCAGCCAACCAAGTTTCCTGGACATCTTGCACCCTGGCGCTGTGATGATTGATGAGCACCACCTTCCTGGGCGGCTGCGCGTGAACTTGGTGGCCTACAAGCTGATGCTCCGCAACGCTGGTCCCACATTGTGTTGCATATCCCTGGGCCAAGATCCGCGGGCCGGTTTTGGGCTATACCTGCGCACATGAAGGCTTGCTTTGTTGCTTGCGGACTGCAAACAGGTGGTCCCTGAGCTTGAAAGGACAAATCGCAGAGTTGACACACACATTGACGACGGTTGATGGGATTCTGTGTTGAAACCATTGGGACGATAGATTGAGCCATGAGAGTTCCCTTGCCATGAGAACATACACCTGACGGCGCTGAGGGCAGGAACTTTATACTGTTTCATGCTTTATGGCAGGTGTGGTGGAGATACAAGGACCATTCTATCCAACAGTTCTGACACACGCATGAAGTTGAGCTCGCCGCCGCTGCCTCTTTGCCCAAGTAATCCAAAACGGCTTTGAAGATTCTTTTCCCCCACCCCTATCCCTGAAAGAGACGGTTACTTGCTATAGGGTGGGATTCCACCTTCCGGTGTGTTAGTGGGATTAGAGCGTTGCTCTTTCACCTGCCGGTGTGCTGGGAGGTAACGTGAGTTAGCCAACGTAAATGGGAAGAGTGCTTCTCATCAATGTCCCTGTCAGCTCCCCCTGGCATTGCAGAGAAAAAGCAGGAAAACGGAGCTGCTGCCTCGACTGTTGTGTTGAATGATATTTTTACCTTCTGGGGGGCAGGGGTTTTAACTTATCCTAACTTGTCTTAGGATTTCTTGAAAATATGTCTGCTGATTGGGGGTTAGTTTGTGAGAACGCGTGGGAGCCTATTGCGCCAGGAGCGATGGTGAACCCGGTTGTGAGCAAAGGCTTCGTTGTGGTGAGCCCACCAAAGTGGATGGATGCTTGTGGTCCCAGGCCTCCGCTCAACCTTCTGGATCAAGAGTTGCCAGCGAAGAGACCTCGTGAAGTCGAACACGGGCGGGGAGTTGGAGAGGATGGGGCCCTTTGGTTGCGTTTGTCGGGCTTTGTCCAGGGTCCATTCCCATGCAACTGGGTTCCTTCTTTGCTGAATAGTTTATGTGATTTGGGGTTTCTGGGTGTCAGCGCAATAATTAAGGAGTGCAAACAGCTCGAGCGCAAACAATGAGTGCAAGCAGTTCAAGAGCCCGCAGAAGGCCACCGAAGCTTCACGCCCTGAAACAGAACTGCAGATTCTCATGAACCGAACCCACCTGTAGCGCAGCCTGATGCATCCACTGGGCGGAACAAGGCGATTTAACAGGCAGCGCAGGCGTTCTGCCTCAGGCGTGCTATGTGTGCACTTCCGACCAGACCAGACCAGACAGTCAGACAAGACCAGACCAGACCAGACAAGACAAGACAAGACAAGACAGCAAGGCAAGACCAGACCAGACAAGACAAGACAAGACAGACAGGCAGGCAGGCAGGCAAGCAGACAGACAGACAGACAGACGGACAGACAGACAGACAGACAGACAGCCAGACAGGGCAGGTTGGGATATATATATATATATATATCTCTCTCTCTCTTTGTGGCACTGTGTTTGGAACCAAAGAGCCGGTGACGATTGCTCAGCCACAGCCCCTTTCCTTCCGCTCAGGCTCCTCCAACGCTGTCCCCAACAGCACCCAGCACAGCTGTGGCAATGGCGGTGGGTCTAGCGCAGAAGTTGTATGGAGAGCTGGTTTGTACGCTTTGGTTCCTGTCGTGCAGCCATGCAGGCCATGAAGGCCTCCTGCAGTCACAGCGCCAAGTGCACCTGTGGCAAAGGTGGTGGAGATAGTACCTAGCTCTGTTGTTTACTCAAAAGGAAGTGTTACTTCCAAACATGTCTCCCCCAGTCACAGCGCCATCTCCAGCTGTGGCAACGGTGGAGAGCCGAGCTGAGTACTAATGCCAAAGGCGTGCAAACTGTAGCGATTGGACGCGCAGAAAATCATGCCATGACCTTTGGCAGTTACACCTAGAAAGACCTGGGGGCCGAGTTTCTGCACAGGTTTGGTTTCCTTTCAGGCTTTGACAATGACTTCACCAGTGCCACGCGCAGCTGTGGCAATGGTGGCAAGCCTAGTTCAGGCTTCTTCCTAGCAATTCGCATCATTGGATGTGTCAAAGAATACTGTGGGACCCTAGTTTTAGGACAACTCCACAATTCCTTGTATGTAGGCTCCAACAGCACCAGTTGTGGGAATGGTCGGCGGGCTTAGTCTGTATTGGCCAAACTGTGTTTGGATGTGAAAGACATTACAGTGTACTTTTTTTTGTTTGCACTTGCTTTGGATGTGCGTCGGAGATGATGTCGCATGCACATGGAAGATGGGGGTGGGGGTGGCTAGTGACGTTGGTTTGGGTGTGCTTCGAACATGTTCCATGCACAAAAGCAACTGGACAGCTTGTGGAAAAGTTTGGAAAGGTGGAAACCATGGCCTCCAGCCTACTAGCGATGGCCTCCAACAACCTTCCTAGCGATCCAACCTACTAGCAATGGCCTCAAAACCTACTAGCGATAGCCTCCTTGACTGCTTCAAGTTATGTGCTCATTCAGCAGCAGGTCAGGAAAAGCTGAATGGGCCATAGTGATGGCCAGTGACGCAGAGCAGAGTTCGCTGCTTGAGTCTCTTGAGAAGCGCCTGCCGAAGCACACTCGCCAGACGACGCTGAAGAGCTTTAGTGCAGAATGCTCCCAACCTGCATTATAAGATTCATATGTAGTTTTTGTGCTGCGCACGACCGAAGACAGGTCAGTTCCTTGGCTGATGTGTACACATGTGTGTGTACATGAAAGGCTGATCGCAGCGGTGGCTAGCAGGCCGCGATGCTCAGTTTCAAGAAGAACTTGCCTCAAAGAGCAGTGCAGCAGTTTGCCGAAAGGACATCCAAAGTGTCACCGCTGGAGATCCTGGAGCCGGCCAAGAGTTTTCAAAAAGTTTCCTGACTGTGGTAGGATTTCCCTGGCAGGGTTTCACCACTTTGGTTTCCACCACCTTTGTCAACCATTTGCAAGATGGACGACATCATGTGTAGTAAGGACTGAAGATATCGACAGGAATGACTCGGAATGACCAAAAAAGACCTCCGAAAGCTGAAGAAACCTTGAAACCTCGCCGTCAGCGAAAAAACAACAAAGACACCTCTGCATGTCACAGACACACACACACACACTCTGACATTGGTTTGCAGTTAACTCAATTCCCAGGAAAATGGCGATGGAACCGAAAGGTGAAAGAGTCGGAGCACTTGGTGTTTTAACAAAGGAGTTGTTCACTTGACTGCGGAAACTAGTTATTGCATTAGCCCTTTACTGCAAGAACGGTAAGGTGCAAGGGTCCGAAGAACAGAACTGTTTAACACAAGCACTAGCACTTTACCAAAGCTAAGGAATTCCTGTTTTGGGGGATATCATGCGAACAACCACCATGGAAACAACAAAAGGAAAAGTGGAGTCACAGCGCGTGCAAAAGTTTTCATCCGCGCAGGTACAGAAGTTTGCGTCCAAACTTCCATCCAGTCGATTTCCCTAGCTTCGTTGGCGTGACTAGGAAATCGACCGTCACGCTCCCTGCGACTTAAAAGTTGAGAAGAACAGAAACTCTTACTGTAGTTGCAGAGGTGGACACACACACACACACTGTCTTTGTTTGGACCTCCACAGTTGAGAAGAACAGAAACTCTTACTGTAGTTGCAGAGGTGGACACACACACACACACTGCCTTTGTTTGGACCTCCACGGTCGCTTCGAATCACCTTCTGCCCCCTGCAGGCAGCTGTTGCAGAAGGTGCACCGAAAGCTTCGTGCTTTGAAGGACAGGGCTCGAACAACGACGGACCCGGACCGGACGTGGGTGGACATGACATGAACACCGAGGGGCGCTTGGGGCGGTGAGAGGTCAGGTGCTTGGCCGATGTACTTCAAGACCTGTCTGCAGAAAACTATTCATACAAGAGTCATAAGAGCCTGGATAAGCCGGGAACATCAAATTCGTTGGTTTCCTTTGATTGACATTTGTTGCTATCGAACCAAATGGAACTCAAAGATGTGGGACCGTGGGACCTGAAGACTGTTTTTTTACATTGGGGATGTTGGGGTTGCTTTGGAGGTGGTACGTCAGGGATCCACTTGTTTGGAGCAAGCGCCATGTGGTGGAGCGCCAAGCGCTGGGCCTTCGTGGAGTTCACGCATGTGGTTTCACCGTATCGACCGGAAAAGCGCCCTAAAGAGTCTTGGAAGTCGCTTGGATTGCTACACATGGAGTGTGCGAGGCGATCGGACACTGAACGTCTTTGACCCAGCGATCTGACAAAAAAACATATCGAAGGGCAGTTCAGTGATCCTCTACGAAATCATTCATATTGAACCGATTCCCACTTTCTTTAAAACTAAAACACCACCCGAATGCTCAAAGGGTCTTTGCCAAAGTGAGTCGATAATGGTCGATCTCCTTTCCGAGGAGCCTCCAGCAGATACAGGAGACCTCGAAAACCTCAAGAGCAGGGCTGCGGACGCCGCGGACGGTGGGGCCAATTGGGGGATCCCTTGGCTCGTAATGTAGACTGTTGAAACCTATCATATAACCCCTCCTACCAAAGGGTTTTATACACAGGTTTACATCTCCATGTATTATGGGGGAAGGTTTAACTCAACGGTCTATCTCGGGACTTGGCACTTGGGGAACGTTTTGATGCAAGGCTCCACAAGCTTGGATGTAAGGGACTTCGGATCACCTCCTACACGAGAGATGGAACTACCCCCAAAAAGAGTGTCCACGTACATGCTCATTGAGAAGATGGTTGCTCTCCGAAACTTGCTAACTTGCTTTCGTTATTCGCTTTCTTTGATTGCCTTAACTTTCAAAGCCCATTTGGATGCCTTAGTTTGGACATGAGCAGTTTTGAGGCCATTTGTTCCTTTAAAAAAACATATATAGGTTCTCTTGTCTTAAATCTTTGATCCAACTATTTTGTTCGATGATCATCAAGGGTTCGCGCGGATGTCAATTCTCAGTCAGAACCGGGACGGATAAGAGTTCTCAGGGACAAATTCCATGCCCCTCAGCTTTGCACGCGATCTTCAGTGTACTTCACATAGACGCTCCAAACAGCCCTTGGCCCCTCAAACTCTGCCTAGGGATTTGAGACCCCAGACCCCCTCCAAAGGAAGGGTCCAGGGTCGCGTTTGGAGCTCTCAAAGCGTTCGCGCCCCAGGAGCTGCAGCAGCCGCGGAGGGGAATGCAGCCAAACAGGTTCTTGGGACCGAAGGGGTAGACAAATCCGGCACCGCAAGTATCGACTTGAACCAGTTTTCATTTTCTGGGAGTTCTAAGGAAGTACTGTGGCCTAATGCTTTTGATTGCGTGATTTCTTGATGACCCTCAGTCCGCGCATGTGGTCGGCAGGCTTGGTTTGACTCAATGAAATGGCACATGGACACTTCCACTTTGGACGATCAGAAGGATTATCGTCAAAATCTTCTAAACGATAACATATAATTACCACCGTTTTTTCAGATTATGCTCCAAAGACACCAATACCCTGAACACGTTCGTTATTTTTTGTTGATGGACAAATGATGCGGGCTTCATTTTTGGGGAGTACTTGCAACGGGTAGAATGTTTTAGGGGTCCTTGCAATGTTATTTTGATATGCAGATCGGAGCCCAGACAACCACACGACTCACAATAAGTGCTTTTTTGCTGAAACAGTAATTACCGCTGGGCCTAAAACAAGCGACTATGGTGGGCTCACTAGTTTCTGGAGAATTTTTGCGTCAACTGTAGGGCTGTAGGAGTTGGAGGACGAGAGATTGCCAGCATCCTGGCCAACTTCAACAAGGTGCTCTCAACATCAGCAAAGATGTATTCTTTTCCCTTTTTCACAAAGAAAGAAGCTACTAGGGGCTCCTGGCATCGCTACGAACGGAGCGATCGGACGCTACGATCGGGGCTCCTGGACGTACTACGAACGGAGCAAGAAGCTATTAGGAACCAGAACTGGGGTCCACTCACTTCAATTGCTTTCACTCACCTGGCACGGGGTGCCCTTAGGCACCGGCCCGCTGCGCCGTCCCCCAAACTCCGGCATCGGATCGGTGCTGCCTCTGGATCGGTGAGGCGCAGAAGGGCAAGACCAGCGCATTGCTCTTGTGGGCAACACCACCCATCAGAGGCCGCTGGGGTGCTCCGAGTGGCTTGGGCTAATTCCATCCAATTCCGTTCGGGATTGTTTGTTTTGTGGTTAACTAAATATGTATCTGGAAATTTTCTTTATAGTTCTTTATTACACTCATTATGCTGCATAGTATTAATATACACATTTACTACACATCTTATATTAATACTACTTATTATAGGATATTACAGGTGCCCCATGGATAGATCACTTCAAAACTAGTGTAAGTATTACGTCGGTCTTATTTTTTTGCACGGATGAATCACCTCCCTTTGGTGATTGAAGGTTGGGGGATTCTTTTGCACTCCAGATGGTTTGTGTCCAACGGTTTGATCGATTCTTCCACTGGCTTTTTGCACAGAAAAAACACTCCAACCATGCAGCTGTTGCCTTTTATCCTTGGGCTGGGTATCTTTCAGGTGACTCAAAATCGAAAATCAAAAGCGAAAAAACAAAAACAAACGTCAACAACCGTTTGTGCCCTGTCCTGACCTTGACATCTAGACATTCACACACTGGGACCCACTGAGCCGCGAACGCCAGGATCCGACTTTCTGCCAGCAGTGAAGTGACCCGCGGAACCTGTCTGCGTGCGAAAGGGCAGGGCGGTGAGCTGTGGGGAGTGAGCGGTGGGGAGTTGTTTGTGGTGAGAGGTGTATATATATATATATACAGTATAGAATTTGCATATGCCCTATGTATCCCTACGTGTTTCTCCTCCACCATGGGTGATGTAGGACTTCCTTTTTTGAGCAACTCTTTGTCAGAGGATCAATGCTTGCAGCAGATTCAATCTGGTGGGTACAGGAGAAAACATGTTTTTGTCGAAGAAGCTGTGTATGAGCATAAGCAGATGGGCTTGGCTTCAAACAAATCCACTTTCGGGCGAGAGCCGCGAGAGCCTACAGTTTCTTTTTCAATGTCATTCTTAGTTGCCTTTTTTCTTGGGCAACCAATTCTCATTTGTTTGGCACTTCTAGAACTGCCTTCCGATGGATTCTACAGCTTCCGATGGAATCTGCGAGTTCAGGTGTGAGACGCTTGACGACCTACGGGGGAGCGTCCCGATGGCTGAAGTTCCAGCTGCTCGGCAGGTGCGTCACGCCGACCGTCCGTACCACTTCCATCCTCGTGTTTTCGGGGCGAAGAAGCAGCGGGGTGGTGGAAAGATGCAAGGCGCCAGGTTAACGCGAGGAACCAGTTTAGCCATTTGGTCGAACGATGGTCTAGATGGTCGCTGGGGAACATCCCGGAGTTGAGACGTATACTTCATTACACTTATCCGAACACGGTGCTGCATGGAGTGCTGCGAAGAGCAAGCTGGATGTGTGTTTTAGTTGGAGTGTGTGTTTGGCACAGAGCGGTCCATGACCATATTGTTCAGATTCTTCATGGGACCGGCATGTTGACGTACATTGGGGTGATTGAAAGGGGTCAATGTAGGTATATTTTGGGTCTGTCCTATTGCCATCTATTGCCTTTAAAAGTCATCCACTGTTGCTGGTATTCATGGGATAGAACCAACGTATACGTATTCCATATACATGCAGTTACATGCAACATGATGGTCAATGGAGGTAAGTAATTGCACATATTCCATACTATTCCATACATTGCAAAACTTGGGGCAATGCATTGGACAGTCCATACGTTGCAATCCTCAATGGTATACTATGGATACATACAAATTGGAGAAAAAAAACTCTGGGTATTGTCAAATCATTTGTATTCTTCTTGTACTCATTTCTACCTCGGGCACCCCAAATTTGTGGAAGGGCTTCTCATTGGCGGGAGACGCAGTCCGTCAATCCATTTGTTCGATCCCTTGGCCCATTGGGATCCGTGGCGACCGCCGGACGTGAGAACCGGTGACGAGTGAGAACCGGTGACGAGTGACCCCGCCACTGACGCCCAGAGTGTGTCATCCTTGTGTCGAAGCGCGGGGCGCCTTACGGGCAAGATCCAGACAAGCTGTGATGGATGTTGGCCACCCTCCACCCCAAAAGAAGATGGGACCTTCATAGTCGTGATAGCAAGTTGTTCATTTCAAACATTTTTAGTGAGGTCACAATGCATGGAATCAACTTGCCTTGGAAGTATCTTGAGTTTGCTCCGAAAAAGAATCTCGAACTTCCATGCCCGTGCCTCCTTCGAGGTCACCAGTCTCATCCTTTCCACCTATACGGAAACGTTTTCCCAGAAGCACCTGCGAAGGGTTCCCTGTAAGGAACGGCTGCCAACTTCAACTGTCCATCGATCAATCAATCAATCAATCAGCCAAACAATCAGCCAACCAACCAACCAACCAACCAATCAATCAATCAACCAACCAATCAATCAACCAACCAACCAACCAATCAATCAGTCAATCAGTCAATCATCAAGGTGTAGGGATGCAGGTGATGCAACTGCTACAACACACCTACATAGAAGCAGGTGTTTGGATACAAGTGTGTAAATACAGGTGTGTGGATACAGGCGTCGAGATACAGGTGAAGACATGTAAAAAATACCACCTACACAACTACAACCTCAAAATCTTGCTTTTAATCTTCTCTTAAGGCAACGGGCCGTTCCGGCCGATGCTTACGAAACACGATCTTTTGCGGAGATCGTGCGTGTCAGATGCAAGTTGTCCTGTTCCTGGGGCGACTCCCTTGCGGAGATCGTGGCATCGAGTGCTCAAACGTGAGGTGTTTAGGGGTGTTTGACATGCGTTCATTTTTGGGGGGTAGTGTCCTTAAGTAGGTACTCGGGATTGTTGCCTTGGACAACCTCAGCCCAGTTGCCAGGCCATATTCTAGGTCTTCCTTTAGCAATGTTTTTGGACCCCGCTTGGACTAACCACCTTCACCGCTTGTCTTCCTTCTGAGCGCCGCATTCATTTTTCCAAGGAAACGCCCCAGCGCAGCAGCCGAGCTACAGGTGGGACCCGGAAGTCTTTTGGGAAAAGGACGAGCAAGGGACGCCGAAGTAGTATCGGATGTGTTGGTGCACGATCTCCAAGACATGTTCGATTTGAGGATTCACCCAAGTCGACCGAATCAACTGTGTGATTTTATCTCCAATTGTGCGTCATCTCCAGAGCACAAATTCCGGGAGTCGAATGGCATATTTTTTGGATTCACGGCGTTGGATGGCTAGTATCTTGTGCCCAAGACGATGCTTGCTTTGCAGCTTTTTGGATGGCTGCCACCTGCCTAAAGGGTAGATCCAGATGCAGTGATCTGTAGTCTGGAGGCATTGATGTCCAAAACTTCAGTTGGACCCACCCTCCCAAAAAAGAATATGGAAGTGAACAATCACCTGCCTGCAAGACAATGTTTTTCTACAGGTCTCCCCCCACGTTCGTTATGAAGTTGTGTTTCACAACTGGACCCGAAGTGGCGTGGAAGACCTGTGTTCACACCAGTCGGCTTGTTGGCACCCCTCTGGTGGCCAAACTTGATGAAGAGTTTATGGGCAAGTCATGTTGATCAATCTTGGGGTCATGTTCACATGTTCACTCAGAATCCATCCATCCATGCATCCATCCATCCCCATCCATCCCCATCCGCTCCCATCCGCTCCCATCCGCTCCCATCCGTCTATTTTCTCTTTTAATCACACTCCGCTTGAAAGTGCAGCTTCCTGGCGAAACCCGACCTCCGCGTCAGGGCGCGGCATCGTCTCAGCAACAGCTCTTCTTGGCCTGGATGCAGTCCATGGGCCGGCGCCAGGCCGGGAGGTCGCAGGGAGTGCGGAGTCAAGGCAACGTCGACCATTCTGCACGTCATTCTTCTTTGGGGCGAAAGCAGTGGTTATGTTGTGTGTTCCTTTCAAGACATTGAAAGCGAAGTACTGGATTTCTGTAGGTGTGGTGTTCCGAATGTGAAGTCCTCATCCAGCTGCAACTGTGGTGCATCGCCCTACCTGGCAGCATGAAGTGGCAGGATTGGCGATGGATATCTAACTATACATTTATTCCATTGCATTCCGTATTTAAATTCTGGGATTCTTGCCTGCTTGCCACGTCGCTCACCACCCAATTTCCAACAAAGCCCCAGTGAAGCTCTTGCGGTAACCGTGACCATGGGTGACCCAAAGTTTGCATTGGTCATAAGAAGCCTTCCACCGAGTTCCGCCAGACTCTGGCAGATCCGATAGCTGTCCAACAGCGCGGCGGTGCCAGGATAGCATCTTCCAGGATGCCGCTTCGAAGCCATTGGCCACAGGCGCGAACGACGTGGGATGCTTGCAGATTGGGATGCTTGCGAGATTCTAACTTCAAAGCCCAGAAAGAAACAGAAACACAGAAGACATTCTTTTGGAGTTGAATGGCTGGGACTACCGCTAGTGGTGGGGCGGTGGGGGTGTCTTCAGTGTCTTTGATCAAGCAACCATTTAATTTGCACATGTCGGGGATGGTTGTGAAGGTCCCGTATAGAAGAAGCAACGCCCACATCGTTTCCGTGCCCAGAGATGGCATAAAGCAAGGCTCCTCCCAGGTGTCCCTTGAACATGCAGTAAGACTGTAGAGCTGCGCAGGCATTCTTGGCTGCTCCCGCTCATGTGTGGGCTGAACCTATAGTGACCCCAAAATACATCTAAACACGGTTCAATAGAAAAGTGCGTATCTCCTCTACACTCTACTCACTCTCTATTTGGGGACCACTTCTATTGCTGAGAAAGGCTTCGAATATTCCAGTGTCTCCCTGAGCTTCTCTGCCAGAAGACTCTGATGAAGAGGACGATGATGATGAGCTCAGCGACGATTCCGAGGACATGGGATGTTCAGATGTTTGGTTATTCTTTCATCGACCACTTCTCGCTCTTCGGCTCATATCCTGCACTTGTCTCCAATTCTTTTGAGACCTCTCAACATTAAACTCACCGCATCTACATTTACAAGTGTTGTATAAGGTCCCGCATGAGTTCCTGAATCCCAACCCACCTAGAGTCCAGAAGTCAGGAATTCTTTTTGCAATAGCTGGATTCAGTTGAAGCAGACCAACCGCAAGGATGAGTTGGACTCTCTCTCGCCATCCGACAATGAAGCGAAGGCCAGCTTTGGCTAACTAATGGACGAAGTCCAGTTCAGAAACTAGCGTTCGGAAACAGTTCACAAACCGAGTTCAGAAACAGATTTGGGGTTCAGAAGCTTGGTTTTGTGGAGAAATACACCAACAAGAGTATGCGCAGGTTTCCGGGTTTAGGGTTGTTTCGGGTCCAACTTTATGTTTCTCTCCTTATGACTTGAAGCTTGAGGATAGAGATTGAGGTTTGGCTACACTCGGATAGTATTCATCCGTGGATACATAGTAATCCTGCGTTGGCTGTCCAACAAATTAGCCCGAAGGCGTTTGTTTCATATATCCTGATTCTGATGCAATTATCCTAATCTAATAATCTTTGAGGAATAGTCTTTGAGGTCTCAGAGAGGTGCCAAATAGGCCCCTGTCTCCAGAAGACTGACTTCTTGGAACTTTGCATAAATGTGCGCAAATGCCTTGCTGGTATGACCTGTTATGTAGACACTGCGATTCAAGATTCGGACAACTGGAACATGCTCATTGTTGTTTGCTCTTGCTTG